CATGACAGTGAAAATTAATCCCATGCTATCTAATAACTCTACCAATTGGGAGCATGTATAAAGTAAAGAGAATTGGTCCTAGCACTGATCCCTGTGGTACTCCACAGGTAACCTTTGAGCATGTTGAAGATCTATCATTAACATGAACAAACTGAATTCGATCAGATAGGTAAGATTTAAACCAGTCTAGTGCTGTTCCTATAATTCCAACAAAATATTCAAGTCTTTCTAAAAGAATATTATGGTCAACTGTATCAAATGCAGCACTAAGATCCAACAGGACGAGCACAGATACAAGTCCATTATCTGAGGCCATGAGAATATCATTAGTGACTTTCACCAGAGCTGTTTCAGTGCTATGATGAGCTCTAAAGCCAGACTTTAATATGTTTTAATATGTTTCACCTTCTGAAGGAGAGAACTAGAAGAAGTTAATGTTAATAATGTCTCCCACCCCATGCATGAAGCTGGTGCTGAACTGGACAGCTCCTTCAGTGACAGACTGCTGCACCCTAAATGCACCAGGGAGCGTTACCACAGATCCTTCCTTTTCTTAACTCACTTATTCTGTTATTTTTATACACTTTGTAACCTTTTGTGATACCACTTCTGCTATAACCCTTTGCTGCCGGAGCACCACAATTTTCCAACTGTGGGACAATAAAGGAATTTTCTATTTCTTTTCTTAGTTGAATTTAAAAGTTGCTGATGTAGATCCTCAGTCATTCAGGTCATAATCATTCCGTAAAAGTTTAAAAACAATCTACTGGGATTGGTTTCCAAGGTTTGAAGACGTTTCAGGAAGCGAAACAACTTCAAACTTTGGTAACCAAGTCCAGTGGATTGTTTTTAAACTTTTGCGGAAAGTTAAAAATTGAACTTGAGCGAGTTAGTTTTAAACTCCACCAGTTTCCTGTCCGTTCTGAACAGGTTTTCCTCCAGGTTCTGTCCAGTCGGGTATCTAAAGCTGACAGGAGCGTGGAGCAGACCTGCTGAGGGTGTGATGTGCTGTTTCCAGGTGATGACATAACAGTGTATGGTGTGATGTGTCTCCGCTGGAAGCCCCTTCATGATGGCTCCCCCTGTGATGTGGAGCTGGTCCTGAGAGCTAACAACATTGAAGCTAACAACCAGCAGGCTGCTGCTGCTCTGCTGGTTAGAGATGTTCAGAAGGAGTTTGAAGACTTCTGGGACGGCTACAAGCACAACCCACTGGCTGGTCAGGATTATGTCACCACAGCTCTGCATGTCTGCTGAAGCCTGCACCTCTTCATGAGGTTTCTTTTGTCTCTGTAGGGAGGAATGAGATCCTGTTGAGTCTGTGTCCACAGGTGTTTGGCATGTATGTGATCAAGCTGGCTGTGGCCATGGTGCTGGCTGGAGGGGTGCCCAGAATCGACTCCTCTGGGACCAAAGTTAGAGGTACAATTCTCCAAATCAAACTCAATTACAGAATAATAATCATTTGAACTCACTAAATCTCTGTTGTAAAAGGAGATCAAGATAAATGAAAGCAGAGCACTCTGAAAGCCAGACTCCAGTGTTTGCCTCAGATAGGTTGGCTATCTTTTAATAACAAAGAAAGAAATGTTTAGAAAATGTTATTCTCTGTGTTAGTGCCACGGATGGAAACAATCAAGCCAGGATCTTCTTCTCCTTAGAAAAGGTCTGCCACCTTCACAGCTCCAGTTCACCCACACGGACAAGGCCAGGTCATCTGCACAAAAAATCCAGAAATCTGACAATTCAGGGTGCTGAAAACGAACATAAAATAGAGAAAAGGGACATAAAAGAAGTACGACTACCACCTAAAGCAGGTGTCGGCAACCCGAACTGCTCAAAGAGCCATATTGGACCCAGAAAAACAACTCTGTCTGGATCCACAAAAATATAAAAGCCTCGTACGGCAACACAGCCTCTAAGTGAATCAGACCACTATAAAAATGACTACGTGGGCTTATAATAAGCATTCATAATGATATGTTTATCCTGGAGCAAATGCCACATCATGTGACTAAGCTGTTATATGATATTTGGTGCTTGAAGTTTAAATTCCTTAGTAGCAGAAGGTGAGGGAAGAGCAGTGAACGCTGTCACAGTGTGATACTCACCGCTTCACCGCCCTTCACTGTGTGCAGTTCACCCCTAACTAAGGGACAAATTGAAGAAATAAAGCCAAAATTACCAATGTCTTTGCTCTTAGCTTTTTATGGAGCAATGCAGATTGTATTGATCTGTGTGTAATGCATAATCCATAGTAGATCAGGAAGTGTTTGCTTTGGGATGGAAACCCCCATGCAGTACCTCTGTGGACCCCCTAGGGGTCGCAGACCCCCTGTTGAAGACCTGCGAAGTAGGGCGTTAATAAATAAAAAAGTTTATTCTAATCATATAAATCAACGTTTTTCTGCCCAACAGCAATGATGAACTGAACGGCAGCATTCTATACCCAGTGATTGTAGCATCTAGGATAGAGCTGTCAGTCTGGGAAAGAATCTGGTTGTTATTTGAAATTGTAAAGGTTAAATGTTTTATGAATTACAACATAAAACTGACTAAAACTATCATGAAATGCTACTAAGGACTAATAAAAATTTCCATCCTGAAGATGAAAACTAAATTCTTAGATGGCTGTCAGAAACACCACTGATGACCCGTTAGACTCCCTTCACCCTGATGGCCTGTGTGTTTCTCTTGTTCTCCAGGAGAGTGCCACATGTTGCTGGTTGGGGATCCTGGGACTGGGAAGTCTCAGTTCCTGAAATATGCAGCCAAGGTTATACCCCGGTCAGTTCTGACAGCTGGAATTGGATCTACCAGTGCTGGTAGGCCTTTCTGTCCTCCTCCTTTCTTATTCATTGAACCTAACCTTTCTGACCAGGTCAGTCACGGTTAGGTTCCTGTGGTGTCATAGATAACTAGAGGGACATGGGTCGGTCCAGACTGAGTAAGGAAGAACAGCATCTCCTGTGAAGATGAGCAGAATGAACACGCTATCCCAACAGCTTAGAACTGAAGACTAGAACTAAAAAGCTACCATTACAGATCAAATGATGTCGTAAAGAATCAGCTCCTGGGTGATAATCGAAGGTGTTCCGTCACCCTGTTACTATGGTAACCAATGAGCTCACACAGGGGAGGCCAGCCATTTGTCTATCAGTCACAGCTGTGTGTCATTGGGTGGATGTACTTGATCACATCCCGTCATCTGCTCCCCCCCTACGTACGTCAGCTGTCTGGGCCGGGATGTTAACAGCCCAACAGCCGGCACCGTTAAACAGTAACACTACAGACGGGTGTAACAGGAGGACCCTGGGCCTGCAGGTTTGACTTTATAATGGGGCCCAGGAGACTCTCATAGACATGCCCACTTACAGGCTCCAGGCCCTGATTGATTTGCTGTCGAATTCCATAAAGATTTCTGGAATACCCTGGAACCAACATTCCTCAGAATGCTGCAGGAAACGGAGGAGAAAGGCAGGCTTCCACTAAAGATGAATTCTGCAAATATTAGTCTCCTGCTAAAACCAGACAAACATCCTGTCCATCCTACCAGCTATCGACCCAAATATCTGATTAAGCTCGACTTTCAAATAAAATCTTCCAGCAAACGTTTAGAAAAAGTAACTTTTGTTTAATCCACTCAGCTCAAACTGGCTTAATAAAGAAAAGGCATTCATCTTACTGATGTACTCAGATTAATAAATCTAATAGACTATTCCTAGAGTCAAAACGTCAAAACCAACATATCACTAGATGCAAAAAAAAAAAAGTGTTTCAGAGTTAATTGGAAGTATTTGTTTGCATTTCTAAGTAAATTTGGCTTCGGTAACGGTTTCATAAATTGGGTGAAATATTATACAGCTCCCCACCAGCAAGTATTAGAAATATTCAAACACACAGCCAGGAATACGAGCTCCCATGTCAGAGAATGAAGAGAGCACATCCAGTTAGTCACAGTCAGAGAAACAGGACTACACTGAAAAACAGGCCAAGCTCCAACATCTATAAACAAAGGTGTTGATGGAAGCAGCACAGCTGATATTTCTCTCCAGGATGGAGTCACAGCCAAACAGGAACAGACCAGATGAAGCTACTATGAGAAAAAGCAGAGAGAGCAGAATGTTAGAGATTGAACTAACAGATTCTGCAGAGTGGGAGAATAGAGATAGAATGATGAAATAGGGGTCCCTATGTCCTCCAGCAGTCTAATCCTATAGCAGCACAACTATATGCTGCTATAGGCCATTGGAAAATGGGAAACTGATTTATTAGTCAGGCTTGATCAAGATGTCCAAGGTTCTGACTCCGACACACATGGACGTCTCTTGAAGCTATTTCTTTTAAGTTTACTTGGGTTTCCTGTTGTCTTCTTTTTGCTGTAATGTTCTTTTTTCTGTTCCTCTCTTCTCCTCCAGGTGTGAAAGCAGACTTCTAAGAGTTACTGTTTATCTTTTGTGTCTATTTTTGCTGTTTTGTTTTATTTTCTATCTTTTTATGCACTCTTTCCTGTCTCTATCTCTTTATTTCTCACCTCCCTTTTTGTGTCTTTTGTATCCAATTTTACTCCCCAAATAATGTTCAATAAAGTTTCATATACAAGTATTAGCTTGTGAAAGCTAAGCTGTTGGGCTATCAGCTACATCAGTTCCTAAAACAAGACACAAAGAAAAATAAAATAAAAAATAAAGAGAAAATGGGGGCCATATAAACAAAACTGTATTAGAGAAAAAACATAATAACGATCTATTGATAAAGATTAATATTTTCTGTCTGAATTGGTTTAAACTTGAATTGAAATCCAAGTTAGACAGCAGCTCATCCCCTGAACCTGATGCTGCTGTTGAGAGCAGAGGGAGCGTGAAGCATCCAGATAAGACAACCAAAGGTGCAGCTCAGAGGAGCCCCACTGTGGAGCTCAATCCTGTGTGCTTGATCTTCACAGTGACCCCAGCAGGCAGTGCTGCAAATCCAGCAGGAAACTGTTTAAATACACCCTCAGTGGTTTCCCCCCGGGTCTGTTAATTCCAGTGTAGGTAACTTAACTGAGATGGAGAGTTATAAAAACATTCTGGACAAAGAAGCTTTGATTCGCCTTTGCAAAGGAAGAGGAGCATCAGCAGCAGCTTCTGCTAACAGCAACTCTGACCCCCCCTGCAACACCGGCTCTTTTTATTATCTTCATAGGGAAACATCTTACATTTTCACACAGACAGTCCCACAGAGTGATCATACTCCCTACTTCCTATCTCCTTGTATGGAGTTGCTTCCTGCCTTTCTGCTCCCCTGTTAATCAGAGCAAGGTCATTCTCAGCCTTTCCATCTGCAGATTTCATCCTCCCTCTGCCAGCTTTGGCCTAACACCTGGGAATAGTACATCTGCTGCCCATCCTTAGATTATACAATTCTTCAATATGAACCATACGTTTTGCTGCAGCTTTAACTTAGCTCTTTACTTCTTTTAGCTTAAACATGTATATATATCTTCAAAACCTAGGATGATATTGAAACGGTTAGAGCCGTGACACGTCTGCATGGAAGGAAAGCTGATAGAGGATGTTTCTTCTCTGTCCTTGTCTGAGCTAGTTGCTCATTGTGTCTGTCTCCATGGTTGAAGGCCTGACGGTGGCTGCAGTGAAGGATGGAGGTGACTGGCACCTGGAAGCTGGAGCCTTGGTCCTGTCTGACGGCGGTTTGTGCTGCATCGATGAGTTCAACAGCATCAAGGAGCAGGACCGCATCAGCATTCATGAAGCCATGGAGCAGCAGTCCATCAGCGTGGCCAAAGCCGGGTAGATCCACCGTTTCCTCATCAATAATGATCAAACCAGTCTGTCAGCTTGGAAAACAGTCGCCAAGGTGTGGAGTGTTCAGGGCCCCAGGCTTAATACTCAGCATTATGCTGCCTTCAGACTGGCTGTTAAAGCATCTGGTTCACATGCAGCGTCTGAGGGACTGCGGGGAGGGGTTCTGAGAGGAGGGGACCCGTCGAGCCAGGCTAGCCGTCTCCTAACAGTCATCTAAATCTAATGGAAAAGGCATCTGTTTAATGAAAAAGCATTACCGTACAATTTTGGGAAATAAACTAATCTCCCCTGATTTAAATAAATGAGCGTCACCTTTCCCTCGCTCCCTGAACTGCGGAGCAACTTGGTAGCATGATTAATATCCCCAAAGAGAGGAAGGAAACTGGTTTATTCCCAGAAATGGCATCTGATTTACTAGGAACCACATGAAGCACAGCCAGTGATATAAAACTAGCTACTAACCACCAGAGTTCCTTCCATGCTGGTCGTAACTTTAGCTTCTGTCTGGAAGCATCAAAAACACGGCATTCCTTAACACTAGAACTCTCAAGGCCGTCATTTTGACGGTTATATTATAAATTTAAAATATATTTAAAATTAATCTTATGTTGTTCATGTTAATTTACTTTTTCTATTTCTGTATTTCCTTCATTTTCACATTGTTTTTTAATAAAATAAAAACGTAAAAAATAAATATGGTTATTTTTACCTTGATCTCCCACAGCCGTCATTTTGACGGCTCTATTAGTTACATTGTAATTTCTTCCCGCGCTTGATTGACATTTGGTACCGTTGCCTAGCAACCAACATTCCACCTAGAACTCTTTGGCTAACATGGGAAAACTGCCTTCAGAAGAAATCTAACCATGAAACAGGTTTTAGAAATCCTTCAAATATTGATGATAGTGATTCAGGCGGAGGGGGAGAGACTGATTAGGGGGTCTGGACAGGAAGCGGCTCAGATCCTGACAGCGAGTCCGAGGATGATTAATGCAGACGTATCAGCGACCCATCAGACAATAGTAAAACTTTTGTTTAAGCACCGCCCACACCTCAGCCGGCCCACTCAGCAGCCCAAAAGCCAAACCAGAGCCCGTACTCTGCTATAACCACACAGTCGGGGTGGATGTGTCGGATCAGATGATTGGAAAGGATTCTGTAAAACCTTCAACATGAAGGTGGCCTGTGGCTGTAATTTATGATCTCCTGCAAATATCAGCTTTAAGCGCATTGGTTTTGTTCAGGAGATTTTATCCTTGAACTGGTAAAACAGTTGCGGGCAAAGCACAGGTTTCCAGCTCATCCGCTGCAGTAGAGCAGCGTTGGAGAGGGACAGAAAACAGCGGCAGGAGCTTCAGCACTGCACAAAAAACACTCCTATTACGTTTGTCATAAATGTGAAAAGGTGGTCTGAGGAAAATGTTTGGAGGGAATCAAACAATACCTTTAAATAAAACAGTAATTTCAAACTTTGAACCTGTGTAGTAAGTCTTACTCTACGGATTTATATTTTAAATAAATTTAGAACACAAATAATAGCAGTATACAATACGGCCTTTGAAAATATATTAGATTTTGTTTAAGGTTTACATTTCCACAATGGGTTTATATCACACACTAGAACAATTCCTGTTGATGACATCATCATTACTCCTGCGTTCCATTGGGGAAAATGTCACCCATCAATTTGATGACCAGAAGAAGTTCTAGTAGGATCAGAATTCTGGGGTCCTAGTGTTAAAATGTATGCCACGTTGTGTGCACAAGAGTTTCTGCATGTTGGATGTATTTCCTCCAGCGGATGTTATTGAGTGAGCTGCCAAACGGTGCCATGGAACTGGAACACACAGAACCGGTTCTGAACAGGAACCGGTTTATCGATTCCCATCCCTACCAGCATACCCATAGTCAATACCCATTTATCCCTTTAGTCATGCACAAACAAGAACAATTTAATTACTTTTTGGTGTTTTTGAAGCGTATGGTGATCTGACCTTAAATAGTTTTTCTTCTACGTGACTAAAGGCAAACACGCCCATTGAAATAGTTTAAAGTTTATTTTTCGTACAAAACTAAAGGGATAAATGCAAATCTGAGGTCTTGTGCCTGCATATTGACTATAGGTATGATGGTATGATGGGTATGCTCATCTGACAGAACACCGGAGCATCAACCAATCAGAAAAGCTGATCCAGGAGTTTTATGGACTCTACCTGCAAGCTGACATTGATTCTGCAGACATTCTGCATATAAAAAAAATAATTTTCAAGGAGTTAAACCTCAAGGGTTAAAATAAAAAGCAGGAGGAATGGATTGTTATGTAGAAGGAACACAGAGCAGAGAAACAATGATGCCAAGCAGCAGCCTCTTTCTAAAGTGCCCAGTGGTGTCATTCTGACTGAATCCTGACAGATTGATCTCCAGCCCTGTCCTCATCACCACCCACACCTGTGTTAATGGAGCAATCACTGAAACCATGTTAGCTGCTCCTTTAAGGCAGGGCTGCAATGACGCTGAAATGTGTTTTGGGGGATAAAGTTCATTTTCTAGGCAAATATTGACTTTGCAATTAATTGCTGTTATGCTGACCACTCTTTAGAACATTCTGGACTATATGCAAATTGCCGT